CAATTTTTCATAAAAGTTTCAACTTTTCATAAATGTCACAACTTTTCAGAAAAATTATAATTTTTCATGAAAGAGGAAGTCTAGTTTTGAAAATAAAATAAATTAAAAGAGAATCCTTGCTTGTGGTGGCACCACATAGGTGGGCTTTGGTTCTCTTTTATATATATATAAAATTAAAAATTTAATATATTTTACTTTGTAGTAAGGGAAAAATGATCATAATACTAGTTTCTATACACGTGCAATGCACATGTGTTTCATGTAATATGTTGTAAATTTGTTAGGACATTTCAAATTATTTGAAAATGTCTGCAAAAATCTCAAATAAATGTTATGAAAATAATTTAAGAAAATTAAATTAAAGAAGACTAATAGACAAAGATAAAAAAATAAACATAGAAGCAAAAAGATAACATATGCATCCTTCTTAAGACTTTAATCATAACGTTACATAAATGAAAAAGAAATACAAAATCGGTACTTGATTCCAAATTTTGTTCGACACCTTCTTCATGTCCAATAAAAATTCAAAAGTCTTCTCCAACGAGTCAAACTAAAGCATGAATCAAATAGAAAAATCATTTTATTTTCATAAAGTGATATATAATCAGGCTAAGTTTGATAAATCATATACTTTAGATGGTGATTACTTCACTAGTTTAACTATAAAATTAAAAGGATAATTTGGGATGTGAGTTTCATGAAACAAAAAAATGAATTTATATAGATAAAAACAGAGAAATACAAAAGAATTTTTAAAGTTTTAAATTAAATACTATTTGAAGGTTTCAAAAGGCCTAAATCGATAAAAGAGAATAACTTAAAGAATATAAAATATATGCAATTGTAACACCCCAAATTTTTTTTGAGTTAACACTTCAACCATTCTTCTAGTGCGTATGTCTTTTCCAAGGAATTTAAAATTTCTTTAGTGTTAAGGTCAGGTCAGTAGATGTTGCATCTTGAGTTGTAAAAGAACTTAATTGGAAATAAAAAAAATCTGAATTTTGAAGAGTTAGGCTAATATGATTTTTGGGTCAACTCCACACGAACATAACTCCTACCACACACTGATATAGGTGTTCTACGAGGTACGTCTGAAAGATCCTTGAATTATCTTTCCAACGCCACCAAGTTTTCTAAGTTACAAGTTTGGATGAGTGAGATATGACCTTTTGAAGTTATGTTGTAAAATAGTGAAGGGTGTTTTGATCTTTTCCTTAACCAAACAGATTCAATTCATTTAATAGTAATATTTTAGAGGTCTATTCGTATTAGGTTAAGTTTTATAATCCTAATATACACTTAGGTTTTAGTTGAGGAGTTCAAGAACAGAAAATAAGAGAAAAGAGGAGAGGATCAAGCATTCGTCGATATTCTTGCATCTTGTTGCGGAGTTTTTCCATGCATTTAATATCCAAGAGGTTTGTAAGCTTCCATAATGTTGGGTTTGTTCACCCACACACCAAAAATGTCATTTTCAGCATACTTTCACTCTCAAAAGTTGAAGTATTTATGTTCTTGATAGGTGTTCTTGAAGTTCATTCTAAAATTTGTTTGGTTGGGGTTTTGATGATTTCTTGAAATGAAGTGATTTTTTTGAGTGGATTAGTGTGCTCTTAGTTTGGGTAATTTAATATAAAAAAACTTGAGAAAAGAATTTGACTAAAAATGATATAGGATTAGAAAATAAGAGTTGAAATTTGTTAAACATAGCCTGCGTAGAGGCTGGCGCAACGCATACTATATGCGCCCATGGGGCTGAGGCGACGCCCCTGGAGTGAGACCATATGTTGTCTCTGAAGTTAGTTGCTGCCTCCTTGCGCTAGGGTTGCCTGCCCCCAATTTTCTTTCCGTCTGTAGTCCCTTTTGAGCTTATTAAACATGTATTTCATGCCCTTTGATTCTAATTGGTGTTCCCCAATATACATGCAAGTACATGGTCTCTCAAGTAATATAATTTTTTTAGAAACGAGTTATTGTTTCCAAGGGACCTATAATAAACTTATATTCACAGTTCATTCCACAATTAAAGAGACGAGTAACTAATTCAGGATATGATAATTTATGGTTAACTACGACTAGTATGCACTAAATTAAAGTAAACAATAATGAATAACTTTGATATAATGTTTCAAGAAAGATAAAAAAACAATTCCAGGGTTGCAACATATAATGAATGTCATGCATCATATTATCGACTTCAAACTAACTTCAATTGTCAAATTAATGGTTTATAGGGTTGATAGTATGATCTCGGTTACACACCTCTCATCACGTACTCCTACTATCTATCTAATTACATCATTGAGAGAGGATTAATAGACTTATTACGAGCATTTATATTTCATCCTATTTGATAACCAAGCAAGGTGTTCATCTTCCGGGCGTCACTCCTGGACACTAATCTCCTCAATTTAATGGGTCAACCAAGTTCTCCACATTCCCTGGTCTATATAATCGCTCATATGGTCAATTAAAGATTAGACACTATGTTTATCTTATGATACGCAAGCATAAAATAGTAAAACAAGAATATAAAATTAATTTGAATTGATAATAGAAGATTAATTCATGAAACCTCAAATATTCAACAATTGATTCATAGCTACAGCCCTAGAACCAGGGTGTTTAGCTACTCATGCTATTAGTAATCAATAAAAATATAATTGTTCATAACAAGGCCATAATCTTGATTCTTGCCCTTCACACTAGACAAAAATTGAACCCTAACAATGGAAGCCCCAGGATATATTTATAGTAGTAGATAAAGTTAAGAACAAATCCTACTCAAATTATACCTCCTAGTTTATGTTTAAAACATGAAAAAGTCATAACTGGACTGGGGTGGCACGCCTTTATCGTGCCTAGAACATTTGATGCTGCATGGTGCTGTGCGCTACCATCGCGCTCTAGAACAACCTTTGAGCGTCTATTCTTGTTGCGGCACACGTTCCACTAATCCTCAACAATGTCTCTACGTTTAAGGCCTAGAAATGGTGCACTTAGAAGGGCGCCTCAACAATGGATCTGCGTATATGGCCTTCACGCGGCGCGCCTGCTAGTGCGCCTCCCTAGGTGTTTCCATACTTAGCCATTTGCACGTCTGCCTTTGCTCCTTCTTTTTGCGTTCAAAATCTACTTTCTCTGAGAGTTCCTGAAATCACTAATCATATGTGTAAGTGCATAAATATAGAAAACAACCACAAAATCATGCAAATAAACTAAATATCATCCTTTAACACCACCAAAACATGGGCCTAATTGACTACCTAGGCATATCAATATGCCTAAGATCACCACCCCACACTTGGACTTTTGTTTGTCCTCAAACAATCGTTAGACCATCAACTCTTTTCATAACCTTGGATTTATAAATTCACCTTAAAATCAACTAAACCTTTTTAATCATGATCGTGCAGTTTACATTTGATGCAATAACATTCCACATATATGCCAAATACAACACATGCTCCAAGAATGACTCTTCGATTATTCATTCTTCTCCAAGTCTACATACCAACACAACAACTAGATACTGCTACACATGCCATAGATTCCCTCACTTGTTTATGTTTTTTTACAACCTTTTAGTCAAGAAATGTCAAAAATCACAAGGCCTATTTTTCTCAACATAATCAACTCATGGTGACAAGTAAAATTCTTACTTTCCTCAACAAGTCGTATGCTTGCCCATAGTGTGTAAACTTTCACATCGTACTTCTTAAGTAATCAAGAGGACTTTCATTTGGTTATAATGTTTGCTTCAGGTAATGGAGGGAATTTTTGGAATTCATTATAGTGATCACTCCTCCCTAATGCACATGTTAGCATTTAACAAACACCATCCTTCATACTATTCTTTTCTTCTAGTACACACTTCATGACTGAATACCCCTTTATTGCTCCATTCCCTTTTATTTCTTTTCCATTTTTTAAAAATAGTTAAGCACTATCCACCCAAACTTTAGACTTTTCATCTGAGTAAGGTGCACATTATCCTTGATAGGATCATGGTCAATGTTTTGAGTATTTCCCTAAAATAGCCACCCTTGTTTTCTGTCGAGGTACACATTGCCACTAAGGAACAAGGCCAAATTAGGATTTTCTTTTCCACACAATGTAGCAATTCATCCTTAGCTCATTCTACCTTATTTTTCAACCCTTCTTCTTAACATAGTGAGTTAAAGACTTTAAGAGGATCAAAAAGACATGGTATGAAACAATTGGTTTCTGCTTATCATGAGGGTTATAAAATGAACAAGGCTAAAGGCTCAATGCGGTTTCACAAGGGGGGTAATTTCATGGTAGGCATATAAGCAGAGTAAAGAATTGGCTATCTTAATGAAACGCCTCAATCACATTCCTTAAGTCATACAAGCTACTCATTCAACACACACAAGCAAAGTTCTAGATATCAACTTAAGAAAGAACAATTCAATTCTCACCACACATGGTATTATGACAGTTATAACATGCTCATATAGTTGCATTATAGTATTAATACAAAATTAAGCCCCTATTTCAACATTTGAGTAAAACATAAGAGCATATGCTAATTAAAAGGTCAACAAGTCATTGCATCTCTTTAAGAATAACTATCCAGGAAGTTTGGCTAACTTATTGGGACATAGTTTCAAAAGACCAAGGTTGGTCTTGTCTATCCTACTCTTCTATATGATTGGTTTTCCCTTAAGACAATTATCATCCATCTATGATTGGGAATTGTCACTCCTAAAATAACTTTAGGACTCGATAAATCAGTAAAATAATCAGATATGGTTCAAACAGACAATCATCAATAAAAGTACTAAAACTAAACTCCGGGGAACCCAAAAGCTAAAAATAACAAAAACAACTAAAGACTAAAACTAGACTCGATAAAGCGGTAAACAACTATATACACTGAAAATACCCCTATACCACACTTATAAAGATAAGCATTGTCCTCAATGCATAAGAAAAACAAAGTTAAAGGGTAGGAATATTGCCTGGGGCCTCTAATGCTCGTCGTCGCCATGGTCGAACATCATTAAGGCATTCGCCTCATCCAAAGCGTCATTTTTCTCCTCCTCATTCATTTCGTCATCAGATGTGAGATCATCATCGTCCACAGTCTCAGAAAATGCCGGACTAGTCTTGTACTGATAGGCAGCACTATCCCTCAGTGGATAACATTCTGCGAAAGCCTCCATTGCATCATCACTAACTGAGCGGCCACCAATTCGCTACTGCAACTCAGCCATACCAAACATGCGTGCCATAATAATGTCATCGCGAGCTTGATTGTCTTAAGCCGAAAAGCATGGCATATGCGCTGTGTATAGTGCCTTTGTGCGAGTGACATCAATCAACTTAGCCATCAACTCCGGGTGCCAAGAAATAGTCATTTCCAACTCCTCTTCCACAATCTCATGACTCCTTAGAAAATAGGTAATTAACCCCCATAACCGAATCCCCACCTCAAATAATTCCGAAAAATCATTATGTTTTGTCTCAAAATAGCCCCCACATTAATAGACATTCCTTTTATTAACATGTAAACTAAAACCATCCTATCCCGAGTCACATCAGTCAAGTGTTTAGAGGGAAGGAACACACTAAATACTATCTTCAACCACACTCTAGCAACTTGATTAAAATTTGCAAGCTCTAGGGTATTATGCCTCCCTATGTCGTTACTCCTCTCCCATCGAGCAGTAGAGACTAGAATAAACTATGCTTTTAACGACCAATTCTTAACGAAGGGATCTGATTCGGTCGTTAAAAGTGCATTTATAACTACATTATTTTTTCAGTTGTTAAAGATCCATTTTTTTTAATATTAGCATTTTTATAAATGTATGCAGACATTAAAATAATTACTATCCAATTATTTATATACTAAAAACATTACTAATATTTTAATTTAATTTTTCTTATTTTTTCACCAAAAACACACTCTTCCCACTTCGCCAAAATAAAAATAGAGACTCAATAATGTCTCTTCATTCCATATTTTTCTCTTAGAATTGAACAGAAAGCTCATTGGGCACACATCTCTTAGATATTAACGGTCAATTGAGCGATGGTTGGAGAAAATTCAGGAATCATTAAAGGAATTTGCAAGCACCTGCTCTCCCATGTTCTCTTTGAATGAAATCAACTAAGCAGAGTCCAATTATGTGTGTCTCACCAAGGTTTGTTAGAGAAATTAGCATATATAGAGCACACGTTTCTCTTGTAGAAGCTATAAAAAGATGATCTTCATCTCTTTTGTTTGATTGGAGAATGACGAAATCATATTTTTCTTCTTACGACTTGGTTTGAATTTTCTTCAATTGACCACTATTCAGACCTTATCTCTTATATATATATATATATATATATATATATATATATATATTTCCATCATCTATCTCAAAAGTTATAACTGAAATATCTTTCTAATGTTAAATATCTCCGAATTATATTAACTACCCAATAAGACATAATAATTATCTAGTTATGTAAATAAACATGACCAAAGTATAAATTTACAATTGCAGCAATCACTAAACAAATAACTAATTAAAATCACATAATTAGTTTTCTGAAACTTACCAAGAATCTTGAGAAAGAGGGTCGTCTTCAACTTTTCAACAATAAATTGTTACTTCTTACTTATGTTGGTGTATTTATAATATTTTTTGTTGAATGAAGATTATGTCATTTAATAAGGAATGGATGCAACATGTTCAAGATAGACTTGATAATGCTTACATCATTGGAGTGGAGAAATTTTTGGATTATGCATTTACAAAATTGGAAGAAACACAAGAAATATGTTTTCCATGCATCAAGATTTGTAATGCATCTTCCAAATCTCGTGAGATGGTTAGGTCACATCTATTAGTGTATGAAATAATTTAGTGTAACACTTTTTGGTATAATCACGGGGAGAGGTTAGGTGAACCAGAGTAAGATTCTAAATTCGTAGAGAACAATTACACTGAAAATGACGATGATGAGATAAAATGCATGAACTCTTAAGGTATTTACAACCCCGATTTCAGTGAAGAGAATATGAACACTAACACCGATGATTTTGTTTAGGCATAACCAAATCCTGAAGCAAAACAATTCTACGGCCTATTAAATGGTTATGAACAACCATTATATGAAGGTTCGAAAGTAAGAAAACTTTCTAGATTAATTAAGTTACTTCATATTAAACTATTGGCAAATGGAGTAGTGCTTCATTCACAATGTTGTTGAAGATGTTAAAGGAATAGTTATTGCCTAATTGATCAAACTTGCCATATTCATATTACAAGGCAAAGAAGGTAATTCGAAATCTTGGACTTTATTATGATAATATAGATGCGTGCAACAACAATTGCATGTTGTACTCGAAGGATGATAAGATTCTCAAATTTTGCGAAGTGTGTGGCGCATTTATATGGAAGGAAAATTAACGCAATGGGAAACACAATGTAAACATGGTAAAATAATACCATGAAAGACTTTACGTTATTTTCCTCTTAAGACATGACTTTAGAGATTGTTTATGTCCTCAAAAACATCTTCTTTGATGAGATGACATCATGATGAAAGAGTTGATGATGGACTAATGAGGCATCCAGCTTGTTCAGTTGCATGGAAGAGACTTGATGAACTTTATCCATCTTTTTGTACTAAGTCTCGTAATGTTCGACTTGGAATTGCTAGTGATGGTTTTCAACCATTTAAAAATTTGAAAACTCCATATACCATTTCGCATGTCGTACTTATTCCTTATAATTTGTCATTTTTGTTATGCATGAAGAAAAAAATTTTATTTTATCTTTTATTTTGTCGATGCTTATTCCTGGTCCTGAATGTATCAGGGATGCAATTGATGTTTATCTCCAACCTTTGATAGATGAATTAAAAGAATTATGGGAAACTGGAGTTTTTGAGACCTTTGATGGGTCAGCTAAACAGAATTTACGTTACATGCATCTTTGTTATGGACCATTAATAATTTTCCAACATATGGAAATTCGTCAGGATGGAGTACCAAAGGAAAATTATCTTGCACGTGTTGCAATAAAGAAACTCTTTCAACTAGGTTGGTAAATAGTCAAAAGGAGTGTCATATGCATCATAGACACTTCCTTCCTCTTAATCACAAATAGAGTAAAGATAAAGATTCATTCAATGACACAAATGTGAAAAGTTTACCGCCAAAAATGTTATATGGTAATTATATTATTGATGAAGTAGGTGATTAAGAATGTCTAGAACAATCAAAGGATCCAAGGCAGAGGATTTAAATATCACACAAGAATAGGGCTGATAATTGGAACAAGAAGAGTATTTTCTTTGATCTTCCATATTTAAATACTCTATTGTTGTGATATAATTTAGATATGATGCACATTTAGAAGAATATTTGCGAAAATATTTTGGGGACAATTTTAAATGTCAAAGGAAAAACCAAACACAACTTGAATTCTTTATTGGATTTGAAAGAAATGAAGATAAAGAAGGAATTATGCATCCAATAGAGAGAGGGGATAAATATGGGTTACCTACTGCAAGTTACACATTATCTCCTATAGAGAAGAACAAATTCTTCACTTTCTTAAAGAATTTAAAGGTCCTAGATGAGTTTTCATCAAATATTTCTCAATGTGTCAACCTTAATGTTCGGCAACTTTTAGGATTGAAAAGCCCTGATTGCCATATTATTTTACAACATTTACTTCCACTTGCTTTACGTGGTATGCTCTGCAAATCTGTTGTTGAACCACTTATTGAGTTGTTAATATTTTTAAGATACATGGAACAAAATGTTTAACAGTAGCTGAGCTAGAGCAAATAGAAGCCTAAATTCCAATAACTTTGTGCAAGGTTGAAAAGATCTTCATCGCTGCATTTTTTGTTATCATGGTCCACTTGCAAATTCATTTAGCTTATGAATCTAAGATTACTGTACCTATCCAATATCGATGGATGTATCCGGTAGAGCCATAACTCTACTTTCTAAAATAATTTATTCATAACATGGCTCACCTAGAAGGTTGTTTTGCATAGGGATATATATTATTTATATGTATGGCCTTATGTTCAATATATTTGCATAATATGGAGAAAAAAATTCATTCACCATGAAAGGAATTCTGATGGTGGTTCTATTGAATCTAATGGAGGTTTAAAAAAAATTTCTCAACCCAAAAAATGTTTGAGGGGTGACAAACCAGTCAGTCTTGATTCAAGTAAATTTGAGCTTGCACATTTTTATATTTTGAAGAATTGTGATGAAATTCAACAATTTTTTGAGTAAGTAATGACTCAGTCAAATAAGTTACTCTTATACTATTTATATCCTCCCATAAAATGACATGTTATACTTCAAATTATTTGCAGAAAATTTTCACAAATTTCAATTGATACATCCAAAAATAATTTAGAAATTGAATAGAATAGACAATTCTTTAGTTGGTTCAAATTAAAGGTGAGAAGTTAAGAATTTGTGTATATTATATTAATTAATGAATAATAATTTCTAAACAATGTACTTAAATTTGATAGCTTGTGGAATTGCACAAACACGATGAGAGTAAGAAGATAAAAGATTTGCTCTCATTGTCACGTGCTCCTCTTTAATATGTGACATTTTTTAAAAGCTATGTTACAAATGGATATGAATTTCATGTGTGAATTCACGATAAAGGCTTGAGAACACAAAATTGCAGGGTGGTTATAGTTTGAGAAAGATGAAGAGAATAAAAATATTTGTTATTAAGGAGAGTTAACCGAGATTCTTGAATTACAATTTACTGGTGCGAGAAGAGTAGTTTTATTTCGATGTGTGTTGTTTGATGTATATTATCAACAAAAGGTAATTAAAGTAGATGAATATGACTTCGTAAGTGTCAATTGCAAGCGATTTATGAAAATAAATGAGCCTTTATTTTAGCCAATCAAGAATCACGAGTGTTTTATGCTTTTGATCTTGCAAATAATGGATGTCATATTGTACGAAAGGTCCAAGATCATGATTCTTTTGATGCTGGTGATAAAGAGGATGACGATTCGGCATAGCTTCAAGGAATCTAGGAGACAGTTGTGACTTTATATTCATGTTTTATTTCTGAGTTCGCAACTTATTATACTATGATGTTGAATTAGATCCTAAAAATACCCTTGATGTTTTAATTTCTATATTCAAGTATCTTCTTGTTGGTGCTTATATATGGAATATTTATTAGTAGTAACATAATATTCTTTATTTACATGTAAATTGTGCTTAAAAACATTGAAGCTTTTATGGATTTTATGCGCAGATTCTGAGACACTTGTAATTAATTATTTTTCTTTGTCAAGCTTCTTTAATAATATCTATCTTCTGAAACTGATATTCTATTCCTAGGCTGACCACATCCTGTCATGATTTTGATATGTATTAGTTAGGTTGTAGATATCTCAAAATTAGCCACTTTCAAAATGTTAAATTCATATCATTTTTATCTTGGTAGTTGTACCTATAGTCTTTGAACAGTTTAATATCATCGATAAATAAAATACTTTTACTTTTCATATAAAGAAAGGGATGTATTGAAAACTTGTTGAATGACTTTTCTCTTATTGAATGAACTAACAAAGAACTGATTTTTGTACTAGGTTTACATGGATCCATCAAAAATTTAAAAATCTGGAATGAAATTAACTTTCAAGCCGCATAAACTTACATACCTTCCACTTAGTACATGAAAGAGGGTCGATTTATTTTTACAAAACAACACTCTAGGCAGTCTTACCAACGTATGTAACACTCAACCTATTTTACACCCACAAATTTGACTAAGTATAGAAATACTTTATTTGCAAAATTAAACAACAAAGAGACTTTACATGAACTTGTCCCAACCTTTATTAATCTGATAATTAATACAAAGGAAGGCTTCACGAATCTGTCTAAGGCTAAAAACACTCTGTCTCAGCCTTAGACAAATTTCCACCCTTAATAATATTTCTGCATATGGCAGTTACCTGCGGCAGTTACAAATGACACCTGTACGACACTTGTCATCACAGGGTTCAGACTATGTTTCCAACAACTATATTTCTAACAGATAGAATCTAATTCAAATTACATTCTTATCTACACGAAATACTAATATTCTAACACTTAGAATATTTCAGGCTAAATTTCCACACTTAGAATATTTCAGCCAGCTTCCAACACTTAGAATATTTTAGCTGTCCTCAAATACTTAGTTTTATTTCAGCAATTCACGTGAACAGCCTTTGGTCTTGCCATTATCAAGTCTTCACAACCTTGCCTTGTCAAGCCAACACGCTGCCTTGCCAATGACTTTAGCCCGCACGTAAGCCTTGCACATTCAAGCTGCCTTGCCAACACCCAAGCACCTTGAACTTGTGTTGCACTATTTTGCAATCATCCATGTCAAGACCAATGCCTAAGTCCTTGACATGTCTACATGTAGTTAGATCAAGTAGTTTGCGGGTCTAACAGACCACCCGCACCACTTGAACTCGATGTCCTCATTGAGACTATTTTAAGATAGTCCTCGATTTGAGCATCAAACTGCCATAAGTCGTTCGCCTTCACCCAAACTGCATCAGCTGCATTCTTGACTTTCCAGTGAACCAAGAATTCTGTCTTAGTATTCTTCTTACTTGTGACCAAAACCCGGTGATCAAGGATCTTCTCAATTTCAGCATCATACTATGTAGGTACTGATGGAGGAGCCCTGTTTGACCTGTTTCTGTCCGGATCATCTGCATTTGCAAAGTAAGGTTTCAAGAAATTCACATGGAAAGTGGGATAAATTTTCAACCTTTCTGGCAACTTTAACCTATAAGAAACTTCGCCCACTCGTTTCGCCACTTCGAATGGACCATCATACTTAGGAATCAAACCTTGATGTCTGGTCTTACTTACAATCTATTTCCAGATTTGTGGGGTAAGTTTCAGTAACACCTTGTCACCCACATTGAACTCAACTGAGCGACGATGTTGATCAGCATACTTCTTCATGCGCCGCTGAGCCTTGCGCAAGCTATCCTGTGCCTCAGATAACATTTCAAGTCTATCCCTTGCAACCCTGTATGCTGCTAGACACTTTCCCTGATTTTTAGATTTGGCAACATCTAGTGGTGTGATAGGCTGTCTTCCTAAAACAATTTCAAAAGGGCTCATTTCTGTTGCAGACGACTTGTGCAGATTATAGCAGAACTACGCAGTGTCTAACAATGTTACCCAATTTCGTTGACTTGCTGTTAGATAGTGCCTCAAGTATTCTTCCAATAAGTGATTAATTCTTTCCGTCTGTCCATCTGTTTGTGGATGATTTGCAGTAGAAAATTTAACTCAGTTCCCATCATATTGAACAAAGTTGTCCAAAATCTACCAGTGAACCTTGTATCTCTATCACTCACAATGTAAGCCGGAATACCAAAATACTTAACCACAAAGTTGTAGAACAAATCAGCAGCAACTTAAGATGAACATAGTTCAGGTGCAGCAATAAAAAAAAGAATATTTTGAAACCCTGTGAACTACCACCATGATAGATGCTTTGCCATCTACTTTAGGGAATCCAGAAATAAAATCCATGCTTACTGATAGGCATGGTCTTTCAGGAACACGCAATGGTTGCAAGAAACCTATTTCCTTCTTACGTCAAGTCTTGTCAACTTGACAAACATGACAAGTCTTGACGCATGCCTCTATATTGTCTTCCATCTTCGGTCAAAAATAAACACGAGACAGTAAGGCTAACATCCTTTCAACACCGAGATGTCAACCCAAGCAAAATTATGCGCCTCTTTCATTAAGTCTTTGCGCAACCCGCCTGATTTGGTACAACGATTCTCTCCCCTTTAAGATAGAGCAGATCGTCCTTGATCCAATACCGTCTCATTGTGCCATCTTGCACTTGACCCATCCATTTAACATATAATGAATCATTTGCAAACACAACCTGATTCTATCATAGAGATCAGTTTCAAATTTTGGAATTGAATGTACTGCAACAAACACTTCTTTTCTACTCAGCGCATCAGCAACCTGGTTGTGTTTTCCTGGTTTGTTTTCCCACATGTAATAATATTCTGCCAGGAATTCTTGCCACCGTGCTTGTTTAGGACTCAACTTTTTTGTGTCTTGAAAAATGTATTGGCTACATTATCAGTTCTTACTACAAATCGAGTACCCAGGAGATAAACTCTCCAAACCTGCAAACAGTGTATCACCGCAACCATTTCTTTTTCATGTGTTGAGTATAGCTGTTCATCATTATTCAATTTTCTACTTTTAAAGGCCACTGGATGACCTTCCTGCACTAATATGCCACCAATTTCCTTGTGTGACGCATCAGTGTGCACTTCAAATGGTAACACAAAATCAGGAAATTTGAGTATAGGTTCAGATGCAATAGCATTCTTCAAATTCTGAAATGCTTCATCACATCATCCAGACCAAACCCACTTTATATCCTTCTTCAACAAATCTGTCAAAGCCGCTACCCTTTTTGAGTAAGCAGCAATGAATTTTCTGTAATAGTTAGCCAAGACATGAAACGACCTCAAACCCTTCACATGACGAGGTGCCTGCCAATCAACAATGTCCTGGACTTTCTTAGGGTCCATTCGAACTTGGTTTTTAGTAACAAGATGCCCAAAGAATTTTATCTCTTCTTGATCAAATTCACACTTTTCAATCTTAACATAAAGTGTGTATTTTCTCAACTGAGACAAAACCAAACTTAAGTGATTAATATGTTCCTCTAATGTTCGACTATAAATGAAAATATCATCTATATAGACAACAACAATGTCATCAACATAGTCAAACAATACATTATTCATTAAGTTGCAAAACGTTGCCGGAGCATTAGTCAGCCTAAATGGCATTACAAGGAATTCATATGAACCATATCTAGTTACAGATGTTGTTTTTGGTTCATCACCCTCTACTATCCTAACCTGCCAATAACCCTCTCTGAGATCAAGTTTTGTGAACCAGCATGCCTTACTCAACGTGTCCGTCAAATCATGCACCAATGGAACCGGATACTTGTTCTTTATAGTTGCCTTGTTCAGCGCCCTGTAATCTAAACACATTTGCATCGTCCCATCTTGTTTATTTTGAAATAAAATAGGAACACCATATGGAGCCTTAGATGGCTGAATCAATCTAGCATCCAATAACTCGTTCAATTGTTTGTGTAATTTAACCAATTCCTTAGGAGCCATACGATAAGGAGCCTGTGCAGGAGCAACCGTACAAGCCAACAACTCAATTTTATGATCAATAGCCCTCCTTGGTGGTAATTTCTTTGGTAATTCAGGCGGCTTAACATCAGCATACTGTTTAAGCAATTCAGCAACACAATCAGGCACTTCCATCGTAACATCACATTTCACTTCGACCAAGGCAACAAGTATAGTGTCATCACCTTTCTTCAGCCCTTTGTCGATTGACATAGCAGACAAGATCATTCCCTTGTCTTTCTTCTTTGCAACTTTATTAATGTTCCCAAATGGATGAACTCCTTTGATAAATCCAACATTGTTTCCATTCATGACTATCACTCCATCTAAGTGAGGAAACGGAACAAACTGGAATTTTCTTAGAAAATCAATCCCAAGTATGATTTCAAATTCACCAAGCGGCATCAAAATTAAATTATGTTTTCCTACCCAACTTCCAGTCGACATAGACACACCATAAGCCATACCCACAATGGCATGTGCCTTAGCATTGATTGTTTTGAAGTAGGAAGGGCTTTTAGTAAACTTCACCTCCAATTTTGTAGGCATTCTCACATCTACAAACGTATGAGTGACCCCTGTATCAACCATTGCCATCACACGTTATTCTTTCAGTGTCAATTCTATATGAATTAGGGAAGAATGAGGATTCGAAGTACTAGACATTTCTCCAATATTATTAATCCCTGTAATATGGTTGAAGGACAATCCCAATGGGTTTGCCATTGCAGCCACGATTTGCTCATCCTCCTCCTTTTGATTCATATTTCCATCAGGCAAAGCATTTACATTTTGTTGGTTCGGACAAGACTTGGCTAAATGAGGACCACCACAAGTCCAACAACCTTTAGAATTACCATCTTTGTTCTTTCGTCTGTCTTTTCCATCCTTCATTTGTGCCTTTCCTTTGTCATTTGTAATGTCTATACGACTATCCTTTTACCATTCCCCTTTCTCATCGTTCTTTTTCTTAGTTTTTGATGTGGAAGGAGCATCTGTCAAAGGACGAGTCGTCTGGAAATCAACCAACGAATCTCCAGCAGCAATTGCACCAGACAGATCTTTAACATTCTGCCTCTGAAGTTCGCTTTGAGCCCACCCTTGCATACCCGAAATGAAGTTGTGTAATTTATCCTCATCAGACATATTCTGTATGTATAACATTACAGAGGTAAATTCTTTAATGTATTCCCTCACCGAACCCGTCTGCCTTAGTCTTTTAAATTTATCCCTTGCAAGCCAAGATGCATTGCTAGGAAGAAATTGATCACACATTTCTTTTATTAACTTATCCCATGTATCAATTTTAGGACGACCAGCACTTACATCATCTGCATTTCGAGTCCTCCACCAAAGTTTAGCATCACCCGTCAAATACATTGTGGTAATGTTTAACTTGTCAAGGTCGGGCACCCTTGCAGTAGTAAAATACTGTTCCATGTCCCAAATGAAATTTTCCAGTTCTTTAGCACTTCTTGCACCACTAGAGGCCTTAGGTTCTGGAATTTTAACCTTAGATGATTCAATACGATTTTAAATTAACATAGCCACAGCCCGACACAATATACAACGAACTCTGCACAAGGTTCTCATTTTCCTTCTGCAGTCCCTCAAGTTGTTGCGTAGTTGTGGTACGAAAATCCAAGATTTCAGTGATATGATTATCAACATTCTGTCGATATACACCAATCTCCCCTTGAACTTTCTTAGCGTCAAGTCTCAAATCAATGACTTGTGCAAACAAATCCACAAACGTAGAGTCTCCCAAAATATCATTTGTAAACCCAATGAATGCTTTAATTTTTCGTGCTAATTCCCACAGTGCTGCGTTCTTCACCATCGTTCAACTGTACTCTGATACCAATTGAAAGAGGGTTGATTTATTTTTACCGAACACCACTCTAGGTAGTCTTAGAAACGTCTGTAACACTCAACCTATTTTATACCCACGAATTTCACTAAGTATAAAAATACTTTAGCAGCAAAATTAAACAACAAACAGACTTTACAGGAACTTGTCCCAACCATTATTAATCTGATAATTAATACAAAGGAAGGCTTCACAAATTTGTCTATGGCTAAAAACACTCCATCTAAGCCTTAGACGAATTTCCACCCTAAATAAAATTTCTGCATATGGAAGTTACATGCGGCAGTTACAAATGACACATGTCCGACACTTGTCATCACAGGGTTAAGACTAAGTTTCCAACAACTATATTTCTAACAGATAGAATCTAATTCAAATTACATTCTTATCTACACGAAATACTAATATTCTAACACTTAGAATAATTCAGGCTACATTCCAACACTTAGAATATTACAGCCAGCTTCCAACACTTAGAATATTTTAGTTGTCCTCCAACACAGTTTTATTTCAGCAATTCACGTGAATTGCCTTTGTTCTTTTCATTGTCAAGTCTTCACAAACTTGCCTTGTCAAGCCAACACGCTTCCTTGCCAATGACTCTAGCCCGCACGTTAGGCTTGCACGTTTAAGCTGCGTTGCCAACACCCTAACACCTTGAACTTGTGTTACACTATTTGGCCATCATCCATGTCCAGACCAATGCCCAAGTCCTTGACATATCTGCATGCAGTTAGATCAAGTAGTTTGCGGGTCTAACAGTACTTTAGCAATTAGGGGACGAGGGAAAATCTTATGATATTTGGGATCTGTAAGATTAAGGGCTTAAAAAAGAACTCCAATAAGCAAAAGTCTAAACATCAATCCATCAACATCTTATCGAAATGATCGAGTACAAAATATTGATCGTGTACCTCGTAGTTTTGATCCAGTTAAAGATAATGTTACCTTCTCTCCATAAGTTAAACTGATGCAAGATGCTCAAACAAATGAAATAAGTATTTACTGTCTCAATTTATTTTCTTTTGTTTTTTTTATGATGAAACACTTCCTTATATCCGAGATTAACTAATACGCAAGTGCACGTGAGTCTGAAAATGCAAAAAAGGATAGAAGAACAAACATTTGTAAAAATGTTGCACGACTCAAACCTAGAGAAAAGTTGAATATTAGTTTTACCAATCGAGTTGTTGGAAAGAATTGTGCTTCATCTGTGAGACACTTGGGTATTTTAATTCATGATCGTAATATGTTCTCATTATGGTGCACTCATGGAAAGACATTAAAGAAGATCATCTAGAGAACATATGGGATGTTGTTATTGTAAGTATTTGTAGAGTTTTATTAGCTTAATATCTGACTTCTCATACCAAAAAAGTAAGATCAATGCTCTATAATTATGAAGAGCATGTGGGACTATTAAGGTAAGTATTTAGAGAGTTATTAGCTTATTGCATTAGATATGACTTCTCTTATAGAAAAATGTAAGACAACAACAAATTTTATGCAAACATTTGGGATTTTGTTGTGGTATTTACGGAGGTATTAGCTTATAGCTTCATTTTTTACTTTCTCATCTTGAAAAAGAAACACTAACGGGACACATTTTATGGCGAACATGTCAGATGTTATGATAATTATTTAGAGAGCTATAACTGATAGCTTCGTCGCTCACTTCTCATCATAAAAGAGTAAAATTAAAGTGGTACATTTTATACCAAACAGTATATATATAACATTATAGTAATGTTTGCAAAATAACATATGCGTTGCCATTGTAGTATGTATTATCTACTCCCTCGATCTCGCTTATTATTTCATTTTTTCACTTGATCCAGTCCACTGGATAATCATGCATTTCTCATGACATATATATCACCCTCCACTAGACGAGTACCATAAGTAGGAAATCTAGATTCAGTTCACTTCTAGTTTGGCTGAAAGTTTTAGATTATGTTTAATGGTACTTGTGAAATATTGTAGGATAAATTTAGCTGTGACTATATACTACTAAGAAATAACATGTCTTTCAAATATGAGAAGTTTGTGGAATAACTATAGAGGATCACTTCACCAGATTATGAAGTCTAAGCCATTTGGTGATGCTCTAAAAGATGTGCCAAGAGGGGTAGACAAGAGTGATTGGGAATGGCTGGTTAAGGAGCATTTGTTAAGTCACAAATTTATGGTATAACTCAAAAAAATTTATTTATTAACATGTTATTTGAATATACTAACTATAATTTGTATGGTATATTGTGAATAAAGGAAACAAGTGAAATAAACATTGTCAACATGTCCAAGTTGAGTATGCCTCATCGTACGGGGAGTAAGCCTATTAGAGAAATTACTTATGAATTGTAAAGTAAGTTTTGTAACTCTTGAAGAAGCCACTTATTTTCTAAAATTATTTAAGATCATTTTCTTTACTTGTTTATTTGTATGTTAACGGAGATAAAGACGGTAAACAACCAAAATGCATAAGATCTTCTTGGAGAAACGTAAGAAGGATTACAAGCTTGTCGAACCTGAAACTAATGCAAAATATGTATGTTTAGTCATAAATTTTATTTTTAATCATTTAACTTTGCGTGTTGTATTATTTTATGTTTTCTTGTATTCTACAGGCTGAAATCCAAAAATTGGTTCAATGTGATTCTTCTCTTACAAATATTGAGGTTGTAGAAAAGTGTTTTTTTGACCTCAATGTAAGAGTCATGTAATTGGATTTGGTGGAGGTATAACGGCTAAAGAGTTTAAAGGTGGGAACTCTTCGAAGTCTGCATTGTTAAATAAATTGAATGCATGTGAAAAGGAAAATGAATCACTAAAATGACACATGGATGAGTTAGAGAACAAATGTGAATGCATGGATGAGCTGGAGCGAAAATATGAACATCTTGCTAGAGTACTACTTGGTCAGACTTCAACACCTGCGTCTTGAAGTGTTAAATAGATAGTACCATTAAACAGGTTTGTAAATCGATTTTTCTTTATCTTTATGGTGTACTCAAGATACATAGAAGGACTTTGAAAGCTCAATTTTTCCTTAGTTTCTTCTTATAACCTGCTTTGCAATTTACCATATACAATTGGTTCCAAGTATCAATATTCTAATTGCCTCTAGTAGAGTGCAAAATCAAGTACCATTGCATAGTGGATGTTGTATTTTAATTGTTTCCCCTAAGTTTTACTCTTTCATATGGTTATTTGGACAAGCATACCCTATGTTTTTATGTTTTAGGTGAAGGTAGTGTTCCATTCGGAGGTTGCTAATGGTACCATTTTTCAATAGATGGAAGCCATATCTAAATGATCATGTTGTCTGTCCGTTGTATTTAAGCATATATATAAACACCTATTTTTCTAGTACTAAGATTTTTGCCGCATTGTTTCATAGTGAATATTATATTGCTTTTCAAAAATATAGTATATGTTATGTTCTCAATGAATCCTCGATTACCTAAACGATCCTTGTTTACGACAACAATATTACAAAAAATAATACTAATCCGAACATATATAGTACACAAAATCCTGGCTAAAATTTCAAAAACTTTATCATCAGTCTGATTACTAAGTGAAACATCTTCAAAATGCCTCACATCTTTAGTCTGCCAAGCGAATTTCTACGCAAATACTTTTTTGTAACTAACCATTTCATTAATCACTAATATAAAGGAATTATAATATCGATAGCTAACTACACAACTAGCTATCCAATAAATCCTATAAATCCTACTCAGTCACAACCAAATCTGAAGGTAGACATGAGACAGATAATCCTGGGGTGGGCCTCAAATACTACAAACAAAAGCTATCTCTTTTGCAATGGCATTTGACTCTCTACTCCTTTGTTCAGAAAATCTCATATTTCTCATCCACAGACAGTGTAACAATTCTGTGTGGACCATTTTGAAAACTTGAGCTACTTGTGTCTTTCCCTTCACATGCCTTATGACTTCGGTATGATGTTGGTCCCATGGTAGGGATCGAATAAGCTTGGCGTGGATCTACTGCCTCT